ACCTACTTTCATACTTAAATTTGTTATTACTTTGTTGATACTAACCATCAATATTTTTCAGTTTTTAGATTTTTTCCTTTGTATATGTCCAATAAGTAAATATCAAGTTTCTAGGACATCTGGAAATGGGTTAGCTTTTTGAACTATAAGTCAGTGAGTGAGTCAGTCATAAAATGCCGGTTTTCAAACGTTAATAAATAAATAACTGTTGGAGCAATATTTATGAAATTTGGAATTCTAAACAATAGCTAAGGGTTTTTAATAAATGTGACAAATTTCATATATGTAGGTTAAATAGTTTTTGAGTTGTGAAGGGGTCAGTAGTAGTCGAGTCGAAATGGTTCGTGTAATATTACACACAGCTGCTGCACCCCAGTTCCTTTGCTTTGAACTTGGCTGGACACGCTGCGCGTGTTTAGATTTAAACATTTCAAAAACAGATTGTATACACTCAGGATACCTTATCTGATTTCTTTAAACCATATAATTAATATTTTTTGTGTTTTTTATTTATAAGGAAGCTACGATTGCTTGAAATGTTTGACAAATGAACGGATTTGGAAATTGGTTTTTCTAATCTGATCTGATCTGATTTATTCTATATTTTATTTTATATATTTTTATTAGTATCTGATCTATGACAAAAAAAAATCTTAACGTTATCAAAAACCCGTCCTGGCCTGTGTTTGTGCTGGCCGAATAAATAGATTTGTAATAAATTTAACCAGTTTCCACATAGATAAGTATTAGATGTAGGCCTATTCGAAGCTTGTTATCAAACAAGTGATAAAATTATATTTAATAATTATATATAAAAGACAATAACAGGCTTAGTAAACCATATTTTCAATAGAATCGACGTGAAAAAAGGTCGATATCGCGAAATAGCCGAGGGCAATATTGTACTGTTCAGCCTTAAAATAATTAAATTATTTTATCATTAAACTACCATTATACGACGCACACAAAAACTTTGACACCGAATTCGTAAGTTAATTTCATAGATAAATAATAAAAGTGGTCAATCAATGTCGTCGTTAAAAAAAACCCACTTCAACGATAGCCTTCGCCATGCTTCTAATTTTTGTAAAATTTCCTCTGGGCGCTGGGCATAACAATTTTTTTCATTACCGTTTTTTTAAAGGAGCTTTTTACTTTTTTCGTGTAACTACTTAGTAACGTTCAGGGCGAGCTTTAAAATAATTAAATATTTTGTGCTCAAATGCTGATAATATGATATTTTCGAGTGTTTTTAGCTGGATGATCTTAAAGCGATGTTTAGTAATTACATCTCGCTCAATCGTTCACAAAAACGGGAGTTACTTAAATTATAATATTTTATGTTTTTTGCCACTATCTTACAAACGTATATATAAATCTATATTTGCAATAACAGTAGATTTCTGACAATGAATTTATGTTTTTTAATCCATGTAAGTATTGTTATTGTTATATGAGTCGGTGAATTTATTTAATCCCTCACCACACGGACATATTACATTGACTAGACGGATTACACGGACATAGTATCTTATAGCATATCAGAAAAAATTTCATCATCTCGTGATAAAATAACCAAAATCTACTCAAAGATCTGTCTGTGTTCATACAGTCCATTCTTTATATACTCGTATTTAGACCCCAGAAAAAAGTGCCAGTATCCAAAATTTTAATCAGTTTTTTATTAAAAGATTCAAAATGAAAGAATGTTAAGAAACGAAAAATGAGCGGTCTGATGCCACCTTTACTTCTTAATAGAAGGACACTTAAACAACTAAAACACACGAGCAAGGTTTCAGCAAGTAAAGTTCAAAACTATAATTTAACCCTCCATTATATTATCTACTTTATACGAACGCAGTTTGTACCTACGGGGATGCGGAAACCTTGTTAAGAGAAATTTGGAGCTCATACTAATTATAATATGTCTGCAATTTCGTATGCTTTGTTCGTAGAAACAACAACCGGAAAACTGATATAAGCGAAGAGAGCGGTAAGGATTATTTATGTATTTTTATACGGTAAATTTGGTTTTGTCGATCATGAATCTCTCTGATTATCTTTTTTTCTTTCAGTAAGAGCGTTCTTCCCTTTTAAAGTTTTTTTTTTATCTTCGATTTTTTTGTAACTGTCACCTGGCATGAATGCTTGTTCTAGTGAACACAAGTTACAACAGACAAAGCATCGAAATATATTTTATTTATTTAAAAGGAAAAAACGGTATATCTAAGCAAAGTCGGTCAACCGCAAGTAAGAAGAAATTTCTCTGCACATAGTACAATTTTGAGTACCGAATTCATATTTGTATCCATTAAATAATGGAAACATTTATTATGTTTCCATTATTTAATATGTGACATCTCTTAAAATGCTTTATTGCTTTTTAATTTATTTATTTATATTTATATTAATTTACTATATTTAATTAATCAAAATCATGACTGTTAAAATGAAACAAAAATATAATAAAAATAGAAATTGATGATAAAAAATTAAAACAATATCAAACCGATATGAATTAAGAGATTAATTTCCGATTTAGGGTAACCGGGAGAGAAATCTCATCATTGTGCCGCATCAAGGTGAACTGCTTTCTGCATCGAGCTCTTAATCCATCTGTTTTGTGAAAGACTTTATATTTTTGATCAAGTACTTAGCAATGTTTTTATGAAAAGCAACTCCAGTTTCTAAAAAGCGGCTTTACTCGTAAAATTGATTTTTGATTTCAATCAGTTTTTTTTACGAAAACTTGATTTGAAATTTATACTTCTTAATCAAATCGATTACAAAGAACGTGTTGAAGTATTGAATTAGACTGAAGTGTAAACTGAAAAATAACACATCAGAGTAAAAAGTTTTTCTTATTTTATGCCTGATTAGAAGACTTGTTAGATTAAAGTTTAATGTAAAAATAACATTGCCTAACTGAATCGATTTAAAAGTTATTTGATACATTAACGATAACAAACAACGACACAAAATAAAATCTTAAACTAGCGGTGTAATCAGATGATTATGTTTGCTTTTTTTCTCGAAACGTGTGGACACAAATTGAGTAGTGTAACCTGGTCTAAGATCCTCATGGGCACTTTCTGCCTTCGAAGTACAGGGAAAATGGTTTGTAGGAACTGACTAAAAAGACCGCCCCGGTATGATCGGGAGAGAAAGAATGCATTTTAAAACTGCCGACAACTTTTTAGTGTAGGTATTTCTGACTTTTAAACCGATTTTTCAATCATCAAATCATAGCTATTGCTATCATTAAAATATGGTGGGATTGGTTTTGAAATGTATAAAAATTAAACAGTTCAATAAAACTAGTACTTTCTAGCTTAGCTATTTAGAGTGATCAAGGACCAAAAAAGTTTAAAACGTGTAAGTTTATACTTTTTTGATCCTGGATCTCTCTCTGTATTTATTCTTGTATCGGAATCTTTCTACCTTTTTTGTTCTATCGTTATCTTTACTATATTTAAGATTTCCTATTAACATAGAGCACACCTATTTAAGATTCATATCTACGTTAGATTAAATAACCAGAAAATGGATACAGTAACAAAAAGTATTTGAAAATTACGTATCCTTGATTAACCGAATAAATTGGAACCAAAAATTAATAACAATGATAAAAATGACATTCTCGTATATTAAATTTAAAATTTCATAGTAATTTTTATTTTACTTGTTAGTTTGGTTTCCTGTGATGGCGTATGTACTTGTGTGATGGTACTTGTAATTTTTTTTTTAATCTGTACTTCAGTAGATTTTAGTAGTAATTATTTTCTAAAGAAAATGTTTTCTGTCTTTTTACTTGTACTGGCATCATGTGTATTGCACACATGGGTGATGATCGGTGGAAAATAAAAAACCAAGAATTATACACTTCTATTTGCCATTTAGAATGTAATTCATGGAACTAAATATATTAGCCTAACCTGAGATTGTGCTAAGTTGTATATATTTTCTAAAATCCTAAATACCTGTTTTCTACTAAGATGCTTCTGTGCACTGACGTGACTTGTGGCATTATGTCTTAATAAAGCTGCAGTCATCGTTATCTTTATTTGAAAATAATTATTACAAGGTGACATTTAATTCCTGATATTTTTAAAATTTGTAAAATTTACGTGTTTCTTAAAATTAAGTTGATCAATTTGATGCAAAACGCGTTCGTCAAATTATTGGACAAAATGCTTTCCCTAGATTTCAAAATTTTATTTGAGAACTACGTGTTATATTAATGAAGATCCATTAAATTTCATTACACCTATAAAAACTAAACTAACTAAACTTAAATTGTTTTGTTTTTCATACAATAATGTCCTCTCTCTATTTTTTGCATATTGGTACAAATAAAGATAAATGGTACAAAGTGAGTGCTCGCGTGTTCTCTATACTCGTATTTCGTTCGATGAATTGTGTTCGTAGTATTTTATTACTCAAATGTGTTTACATTGCATGTTGTGAATGATTCAAGTGTTAATGTGTAAGTAAGATTAAATACGAGTAGAAGTCCTCTTATATGTTTTCTATATATATTTTGGACTTGTTTATTATGTATTATAATAGATTAACGAATATTACTCTTATGTTGTTATACGGTACTGGGATAAGGATTTTAGATGTTAGAATGAATTAAAATCTATATGTAAAAAAATAATTAACAGAATCTAACAGTAACAGTAAAAGAGTTTTAAATATTTTAATAGATATTTTCACACTGAAATACAGAAATTAGTAAGTAAAAGTATATTTAGTTGCATTTATACAAAACTGTAACTGAAAAGCCATTTCCAAAGCCATATTGTATTTGGACGGATGTCTGAGAAAATTCTGCTGTAGATTGTAATTTTTAACTTAACCTACTTTCTTGTTCTTGCGAATGGCAAAGAGCTTACACACGAAATTTATGTACGACGTCTGTAGCGAGTTACGCCGGGAGATGTAATCGTAAATAAGTGTAGGCGGCCGAAGGGCGATAAAGTTATGGGCTCATTTTTATGGCTAGTGGTGGTATGACGTCGCGTGGTGTGGAGTGCTGTGGTGGTACTTACAATGTAGCGCAAAGGGGGCACATAGCCGAGAGCGTACGAGTGGTCGCCCGCCGCTCGGCCGCGCCGCCGCGCTACCGCCGCATGGCGCCTCGCCGCCAGCACGCGCGACCAGCTGCCCGCGCGCGACACTTCGCGCCCGCACGCACTTCCACGTGCTCCGAGCCCGCCCGCGCAACCAGTCCACGTATCCCCACGCCGAACAGTCCGACTGTTGACAATTCACAACATCGTCACTATACTAACATTCATCCAGCAAGGCCATGACACTCGTACGTTAATAATATATGAAAACTTTCTCGTAACGCTCGCACATTGTCGCATTGCAGAAAATCGTTTTAGAGCGAGACATTAACTCGCTTTTGTCTTTCACAAGATTTTACATGCGAGCTTATTTATTCACGCAATTCGATAGCTATGTGCTAGTACGCGGCGTCTTGTCTCTTGCCGTGTAAATGGTACGTAGTCGTTCTGTATACTCACATTAGCATGCCAGCGTCGGCCTCCCGGTTATCAACTATCGTTAACGTAAACAATTGAACACACAATCATTTTGTCGAGTGGCGCGGCGCGATATCACATGCCGGTCGGACGCGGATCGAAGGAGCTCGGGCGGAGGCGCCCGGCTCGTCAGAGCATCGGCCCCGGGGGCTCGGCGCCGCAGGGCTGCCACCTCCACCACACCGTATGCGGCGTTTGCTTGCTAAATGAGCGGATTAGGTGCGCGGGGCGGAAGTGTCGGAGGCGACACGCGCGTCGTTGCCACTGCAGGCCGCCACTGAGGCGGGGCGGCCCGGGAAAGCCTCCCCGCGCCCCTCCCGCCCTCGGCTACACCCTCCCGCACCACCCCGCCCGCCATGTGCCCGGAGCGCGCTCAGCCTCTCGCCTCGCAAAGGGTTGTCGGCAAAGGGAAATTGCTACTATCGTCTTTTTGTCGTGACGACAATTGGCCGAGCTTTAGGCGGCATTTTCTTTTTGACCATGGATCGGGGATGGGTCTCTCATTGCATTTGACATGGTATTTTATTCAGTTTTGGGTCGGAAAATATATATTAGAATTGTTTTGAGTCATGTATCGGTGTCGTAGAGTTATGTAACACCGTGCGGGTGCCATGGCCGTTCCGCAGACGCAGCGCGCCTGTCGGAATACCCCTAACGCAGCCCTTAAATTTCTACTGAAACGTTACGAGCGAGAGCGAAGTTTCCCGAATATGACCGAGCAAAGGCACCGAAAGCGGCCCAGCGCGCGCCACCGGCGCCGCCCAGTCAATAAGGCCGTCTCCACTTGCCGAACAAAGACACTAACCTATAATAATTACATTTAATTAAGGATAACTGGACTATTTTGTATAATAAGCATATCGCGCTGCAGCGTTAGCAGCCAGATTTCGCACTTGATTATTGAAAATTATTTTATACGTGAGTCTCAGGGCGGTCGACACGTGGAATATGTAGCGCCACCTAACTGTTTGTCCGCAAAACTTGCAATAAAGTTGACTATTCAAATACTTCTAAACTTACGTTACGTGGCGTAAAACTGAAAAAAATGCGGATTTTACCTAATTTGGATTGGATATTTCTAAAGTTTTAAATGAATTTTCATTGCAGACAATATATTTAATGGATGTATCGTAATAGTCGCTGTAAATTTGTGTAGCTACGTGTTTTTCTACTAAGTTTTGAGCGCAGTAAAGGTTAAATTACACATTAGATAGCAATGTACGACAATGTTCTATCTGGTTGGTTTACTTTCTACTTCTCGTTTTGTAGTTTGCCGTTTATATTGATATTCGCATAGTTGAATCTTAGCTGCCGGCTTTCATTATGGTTTCATCATCATCAACAGCCTTTAATAGTCCACTGCTGGACATAAGCCTCTCCTTAGAAAGGAGGTTTTGGGCTACTATACCACGCTGGCCAGACGGGTTGGTATAGGGTTTGTGTCAAGTTTTCCTTCTCTCTGCAGTGCTGTTGTCCTGCGTAGTTTTTTCCCTTAGTCGCCTCTTACGACACCCACCGGATGAATAGGAGTGATGACACTCTGTATTCTTAATCCGTCACCACACGGACGGTCCGTCACCACACGGACGGTTTAGTTATAGCTATTTTAAAATAACGTTAATCTCTGTAAAACAAATGTTGAGCACACTCTTTGTGATCAACTGTGTGCCCGTGTGCAGACGGAAAAAGAAATAAAATGTATTTAATCTTTCGACAAAACAATAACAGTGGTTAGGCGACATCACCGGTTAGGAACATATACACCGGTACTACAACTATTGGTAAAGAAATAAAAAAGACAGTTTTTGCCGTTCCTTGTAATTAATTAAGCCTTCATTTTTTTATGTTTATTAGCTTAAAAGCTTGTTATTGCCGTACACTCGTTTACTTTCGTAATAGCTTTAAAGGATTCTTGAAATCAAATCAAATTCAAAAGCATTATTAATTACATTTTATTTATAAAAATGTGCCTTCATCTTTGCCACATTTTCATATTAGACAATAAATTGCGAGCCGTTACATCTCTCCATCTATTAATGTAGTCTATAATAGTTCACCATAACTATACCTACGAGTACTGATACAAGCGCAATGCCAATAATACTCCTCCGTAATTGTGATTTATAATACTTTACATACTACATATAAAGGTACCTAGTTCAACAAACATTTAAAAAAAAGAAAAACTCTTAAAACCAACTTAATATACATCTTTAATTAAGAAATCAAAACTTTAGTAACAAACTTAATTCCGTAATCCGCCCATTCGTTAACTTTTCTCATTCAATTAATAGGAAAACAGAAAATATTAGTACGTATTTCTACGGCTGCGATATCAACAGTAATCGGAATTGAGAGTACCGCTTGCGACTGTGCATTGAAACAACCGCTTCTTGGAATTTGGTCGTGCGCCGGACTGTGCGCAGTTGAACCAATTTCAGCTAGAACCACATTGCATCCATAGATGATTTAATAGCCTATGTATTTAAATTGTCACTTCTGAATTCTCTGTACTAATATTATAGAATGGAGTTCATTGATGTGAAACGATAATCTTAGTATCTACAAAATATACAAGTATACATTCACGCCTGAACTTATGAGAGGGTAGACAGAGCAATATTAAACATCCAAATTTTGCGAACTATAAATTGGGCCCACTCTCGTAATAATGAATAAAGATATTGCTACCAATCAGTATCGTTTTAAATCAAAGATGGGAAAATAGGAAGTATTATTTATTAATTTATTTATTTATTTATACACTTCTATCATGCACTTTTGGTGCATTGGCGGACTTAATGCCTAAGGCATTCTCTACCAGTCAACCTTTGGGTGATGCAGAGAGAACAGAAAGTAGGTGCATTTTGGTTAGTTTCATAGATAGATTTAGTTTGTTTCATTTAGTTTTGTTTGTTTGTTGTAAAGTTTGATAGATAAAGAAGGAAAGGTAGGTAAGAATCTGGAATAATACTTTTTCTAAATTACCTGACATGACCTAACATCTTATAACCCTTTCTGGACCTATAAAACATCTTAAAAAAATGAAAATATAAACTATAACTTAGGTATTTATGCTTTATTAGTTTCAGCAATTAGTATCCCATCATAATCGGATAACGTCTGCAAAGCTAAACCGACGCCTTAAGACGCTTTACTTATTACGCAGACCCTCTTTTTGAGGATCCACATTGCACACTGAGAATCAAACCGTTACTATACGAAACTTGGCAAAATGTAGTTATCACTCTCACCTAGTGACACTTTGCCTAAATTATATAATGCAAAAACTCATAGTGATAGCATTATTAGAACTGGTGGTTGTGACCAGTGTCGTTATGTAGTTTGGTGGGATTGGTACAGTATTTAACAGCAACATTGACATATTTTCACTAGTGCCATGAACGGCGTGATTATTATGAGAAATTTACGCGAAATAGTGTCGTATTTTTTAATAAATTTTCCTTTTAGATCCTAGATCATATGACTGATGATATGATCATATGATGATGATACTATAGTGACATTTTAACCTATTTAATATTATAATATCTGCAAGTATTTCTTTAAAATTTTTACATTACATTAATTCGAAAAAAAAATAAAAAAGTTATTATTTTAATGCTTGATTGAGTTCACATAAAAAACTGAGAAAAACACTGATTCTGGGCTGACTGACACTGACACTGGGTAAGACTCAGTATGAGAACAAAAGAACACGATTTTGTTTGATATAATACGCTTTTACAACGTTTTTTTCATTTGAAAAGTTTAAATGCTCCTACTGTTTTTTTTTTTTGGGTTAGTCTCGGTTCGATTCTGAGTGTGCGACATGTAAAAAGTGAAGCATCCTAACGCGTTGATTTGATTTTTTTGTTCTAATTAATTGTCTAGTTACATATTTGGTACCATTAGTATAAATTAAATGTAATTATCAATACTTTTGAATTTGATTTGGTTTAAGGGGTTTTTCCTCGGGCCGTCATCCCACCGGGGTTTGCGGCGGGCCGGTGTCTCGGAATCGAACCGACCGACACGGTGTGCCACTCTGCACCTGAGATAACAGGAATTGCGCCTGAAACAGCAGTTGATAACACATCCGGAGCCCTTCTGGTGCCTGACTTTTATACAGACCTAGTTTAGCCCGAAACTAGTTTTGGACCCAGACCGGTACAAAACTAGGTGGAGCTCTCCGAAACATAGACAAGATTAAAATCTAACACTTACCTAAAATTATTGTGAAATAAATCATTTTTAAAGTCTTGTTTTGTCTTAAAAATTCTCAGTTATTTTCAACTAAAGCGTACAATCTCAAACAGTAGAAGTACTAAGTACCTACGTATTTTCACAAATGTACAAAAAGTCGTTTAAAAGTTATAATAGCTTCGATATAATTGAACTGCACCATTTTGTTCGAGTTCAAACTGAAAAGCGACTACATCGTAGGCCATCAATTTTCTTTGAGTTCTTTAGAACTAATTGATAGAAAACTTTAATATTATTTCAGCCGAATAGTAAGGAGAACATTTACGGTACATTTCATTTGTCATATGGACGCTTTGGCAGTAATAGCTTATCGGTTTTGAATCAATTAACGAAGTGAATTAATGTATTTCTTTTATTCAAATTATTTTATAATTTTTTTAGTAGGGCCGACGCCCTGGACACTAACCTACCGCCGCTTAAATAAATAATTTAAAATTTGTTTTTTTTTTTATGTTAGGCGGACGGATGTTAGAGGGGCAGACGAGTAGACGGGTCACCTGCTCAGGAACGAAGGAAGGAGTACGCTCTTTTCTTGAAGGTTTGAAGTTCGTATCGTGTCGTAATTCCTCCTAGTTTTTTTATACATCTTCACACTACATATCATATAGAATTGAATCCCTACACTGTAGTCAAAAACCGCAATGCCACCATAAATACTGTCATTTAAATTGATTTCACTGTTTATTAAGCTTCCATTCCCCAGAGCTCTGCGAAACATTATAGTCACAACATATACCCATAACCTACAAGATTTTCTTCAACAAAATTCGTGAGCGTTCAAACCGCATGCTCTTATTAAGTTCACGGGATTAAAACAGGAATTAAATAGCAATTTAATGTTTCATGTTTTGGGCTTAAGAGGTTCTATACGCTTAGTAATCTGTTGAACCTGTTAGGGTAAGCCATGATCGATATCTGAGGCCATGTTCAATAATCCTTCGATATTGTTGCAGCAGTTTGAAATGTTGTATTGTCTTGTAGTGTCTTGCTTACATGACACTTAGATACTGTTTTCTAGATAATGTGATATTTGTGTGTAGTGGCGCTTGCAGTTCCTCTTTTAAAGGTAGGGACAGGACTTGACACATGAGCGGATGAGATGTTATTAACTTTAAGTAATGCAGTTAACTTAAATTAAGTATATTATAAAAAAATTAATACCTTGTATTCCTA